TAGGAAAAAGAGGCTACAATTTGCAAGAGCTCACCAAAATTGGACAGTTGAAGACTGGAAAAATGTTGCCTGGTCTGTTGAGTCTCGATTTCTGTTGAAACAATCAGATGGTAGAAACAGAAAGAAGTAAACAGAATGAGAACATGGATCCATCATGCCTTGTTACCACTGTGCAGGCTGGTGGTGGTGGTGTAATGGTGTGGGGGATGTTTTCTTGGCACACTTTAGGCCCCTTGGGCATGGTTTAAATGCCACGGCCTACCTGAGCATTGTTTCTGACCATGTCCATCCCTTTATGGCCACCATGTACCCATCCTCTGATGGCTACTTCCAGGAGGATAATGCACCATGTCACAAAGCTCGAATCATTTCAAATTGGTTTCTTGACCATGACAATGAGTTCACTGTACTAAAATGGCCCCCACAGTCCCCAGATCTCAACCCAATAGAGCATCTTTGGGATGTGGTGGAACAGGAGCTTCGTGCCCTGGATGTGCATCCCACAAATCTCCATCAACTGCAAGATGCTATCCTATCAATATGGGCCAACATTTCTAAAGAATGCTTTCAGCACCTTGTTGAATCAATGCCACGTAGAATTAAGGCAGTTCTGAAGCCGAAAGGGGGTCAAACACAGTATTAGTATGGTGTTCCTAATAATCCTTTAGGTGAGTGTATATTTAAATTTCTTCATTAACTCCGTGATTTATTGATTTCGCACATATCCACAAAGGTATCAGTAGCAAGTGTGCCCTCATGTAATTCAGTATTTACTGCAGTATGGCATCTTCCATGTCACGCTATACAGGTGCTGGTCATAATTAGAATATCATCAAAAAGTTGATTTATTTCAGTAATTCCATTCAAAAAGTGAAACTTGTATAATGTATACATTCATTCCACACAGACTGATATATTTCAAGTGTTCATTAAATGACAACAAATGAAAACCCCAAAATCAGTATCTCAGAAAATTTGAATATTGTGAAAAGGTTCAATATTGAAGCCACACTCTAATCAGCTAATTAACTCAAAACACCTGCAAAGGCCTTTAAATGGTCTCTGTCTAGTTCTGTAGGCTACACAATCATGGGGAAGACTGCTGACTTGACAGCTGTTCAAAAGACGACCATTGACACCTTGCACAAGGAGGGCAAGACACAAAAGGTCATTGCTAAAGAGGCTGGCTGTTCACAGAGCTCTGTGTCCAAGCACATTAATAGAGAGGCGAAGGGAAGGAAAAGATGTGGTAGAAAAAAGTGTACAAGCAATAGAGATAACCACACCCTGGAGAGGATTGTGAAACAAAACCCATTCAAAAATGTGGGGGAGATTCACAAAGAGTGGACTGCAGCTGGAGTCACAGACGTATGCATGACATGGGTTTCAGCTGTCTCATTCCTTGTGTCAAGCCACTCTTGAACAAGACACAGCGTCAGAAGCGTCTTACCTGGGCTAAAGACAAAAAGGACTGGACTGCTGCTGAGTGGTCCAAAGTTATGTTCTCTGAAGAAAGTAAATTTTGCATTTCCTTTGGTAATCAAGGTCCCAGAGTCTGGAGGAAGAGAGGAGAGGCACAGAATCCACATTGATTGAAGTCCAGTGTAAAGTTTCCACAGTCAGTGATGGTTTGGGGTGCCAAGTCATCTGCTGGTGTTGGTCCACTGTGTTTTCTGAGGTCCAAGGTCAACGCAGCCATCTACCAGGAAGTTTTAGAGCACTTCATGCTTCCTGCTGCTGACCAACTTTATGGAGATGCAGATTTCATTTTCCAACAGGACTTGGCACCTGCACACAGTGCCAAAGCTACCAGTACCTGGTTTAAGGACCATGGTATCCCTGTTTTTAATTGGCCAGCAAACTCGCCTGACCTTAATCCTATAGAAAATCTATGGGGTATTGTGAAGAGGAAGATGTGATACGCCAGACCCAACAATGCAGAAGAGCAGAAGGCCACTATCAGAGCATCCTGGGCTCTCATAACACCTGAGCAGTGCAACAGACTGATCAACTCCATGCCACGCCGCATTGCTGCAGTAATTCAGGCAAAAGGAGCCCCAACTAAGTATTGTGTGCTGTATATGCTCATACTTTTCATGTTCATACTTTCCGTTGGCCAACACTTCTAAAAATCCTTTTTTTGTATTGGTCTTAAGTAAGATTCTAATATTCAGAGATACTAAATTTGGGATTTTCATTAGTTGTCAGTTTTAATCATCACAATTAAATTAAATAAACATTTGAAATATATCAGTCTGTGTGTAATGAATGAATATAATATCCAAGTTTCACTTTTTGAATGGAATTAATGAAATAAATCAACTTTTTGATGATATTCTAATTATATGACCAGCACCTGTACACTTAAAACTTTAAAAACAAGGCATGAAATGAGTGACTAATATGCTGTTCATTGTTATTTAGTCTATTTTTCCATTCTTCATGTATTGTAAAAAGTTTTGAGGCATTTCCTTTTTGTGGACCTATCAACATGTCAAAGAGGCGTGATGGTGCTTGAATGTACCACAAGTCAAGCTACCGTTCACAATGCCAATGGGAGGGCATGACATTGCAGGGTCCCTAGAACTAGTCCCCAAAGAATTTCCCTGTCAGCGTTGGCCACAGTTTTGATGGAAGCTGCAGTAATGTTGACAGGTATGTGTCCTGTTGTCTCTGACACATTAAAATCTGAAAGGATGCAGTTGTGAGCAACATATCTGTGTTGAAATCATAGAAATCCAGCTTTCTCTGAGCTCCTACACAGACAAACACACACATACACACAAACACAAGAACCAAAGTCATTGTTCAGCTGAACACAGAGACCACAGTGGAGAAGTGAACCAGGTGAAGTGAAGATATCTCCAAGGTTACGCAAGTTGACGACAACTACGCTCGTTATAAGTGCAATAAAACCTTCGCAAGTAAATGCCAATACTTCATGAATACACTCGTTCAACTAACATAAACATGTAACTATACCCATTCCTAAACATCACTACAATTAGTCAAAATACACATTTTAATGGGGAACCACTTAATTTCCCTGGGCCCCACTCAAATGACCACCTGTGGGCCCCGAAGTGGAGAGGAAACTATGCAGAGATGAGCAGACCAGGAGATGAGAGAAGACAATATGAGAACAGCAGAGCAGATAATCGTAGGAGAACATGTTTTTGGCAAAATCTTCAAGAAAATCATCAGTAGCTCTCAGCAATGTTTGTACTTTCAAGTAACTTTGGTAAGAGATTTTTAAAATCAATAAGAATTTGTTTATTAAAATAATCTGTACCCCCAAGTATGGTTCCCCCAGTAAAATTCAGTCATATACACCTCTCTTGTGATCATTTTACAAATAATTTTAGAGCCAATTTGATTCATGCAGATGTTCCTCATGAAACAGTGGTTCTTTCATAATAATAATGTGTTGTGGATATTTTCAACAGTGCATATCAGACAACACAATTTAAACAAAAAACCTCAGTAGTGCAGACAAACTGAAGCTCCTCGTGTAACCTAAAAGCTGCATTCATGACTTATTATTGTACTTTACTGGAACATTTATTCATGAATATTGTATTTCCTTAGTAAAATCATAAAATGAACAAAATGAAACCAGTAACCACTAGCGAATCCGCGGAGTCTCAGTGCGCTAATGTGCACAAACAGGCAAACAAGCGCTCCACGAGGAAACCCATAGCCATTGCATACTTTGAAAACTCAGTGGTCACATACTTTAATAATCAATCACAGACATTTTGATATATAGACAAAAAAGCACAGGTACACTCTTGAACAAAATCTTAAGACCGGGGGAAACATTGCAAGTACTCGCATTTCGCGCTGGTGGATCATAACCGGGTTGTAAGTACTGCTTCAAAATGCCAAAAGAAGAAACAGGAGCAAGAGATGAAAAATAGAGAGTAGGCAATTTACTGAAAACTGCATTTAAACTCAAACAGGCTGTTCATCAGCTGATCAAAATGATGGATGGATAACCTCTATTGCTGGTGGTCCTTTGTCTACATAATTTAAATCAACATCTGGATCTTTGAAACCATTGCAGAGACCTCTGGATAGTGGCAAGACTACAGGAAAATGAAAACACTGCGTAGTGTAAGCAGAGAGGCAAATTGTTTCCTACCATGACAACACCAGCAGCAGCTCGTTGTGTGCTATAGATCATGTTAGCCACTTCTGAACATCATGCTTTCTTCTGTAATAAATCTTCACAAACAAATTGCCTATGCACTGCTTCTCCCCTAATAGAGGAGTGAGGACTGAGTGACCTGTGCAGGCGAGAGAGGAGAAGCAAGATAGTCTAGTTAGTAGATAGCAGATCCTTCCTTAATAGAAATGTTTCCTTAAGGCAGCTTTTTTTTTTTTTTTGCAGCTTATCTGACGTTCCGTAGCTTATATTCAAACTGGTTTTTGTTTTCACCTTTATGGCTTTTAATGTAAAGTCAAAAAATAAAAATTGCTTTACTGTGGGGCCTGATCAACAAAGACATCATTAAAACCACACAGTTAACACTCCAGTGGATTCACATTATACAGTATTGTCTAGCAGTTCGGAACTTTTGTCTCCACTTCTGGCAGTGAGAGTAATTACACAAACACTGTCAACAGTTCTCATGATGTATGCCTGCAGGTGAGTTTGCCCCAGGTTCAGATATAGTTTGAAAAATACAGAGACATTTCCACAGTTCCAAGACAATAATATATTACTTAGGTAGAGTAAATGTAACGGCTACATAGCCTACTCCAAATACATTACAAATACTAACCTGTCCAAGAGCAGTAACATGACATCAGTGTCTGCCCTCAGTCCTTCCTCTTCTCTCAGCGACCTCTAACGAGGAAAAGGTACATCAATGGTTATCCCTGTTATCTTCTTAATCTGGAGCATCAAAACATTTTTGTGGATGCTTCTTAGGTTTTTCTGCCACGGGTGTCAGGAATTATGCCAGAACCCAGATGCAGACAAAGAGACAATGAAGCAGTTTTAACAGTTTATTGATAAAGGCAGAGTGGGTAAATTGAGGAAGCAGGGAGTTTCCTTCCAAGCAGTTGGAAAGTGAGGGCTGGGGCTGGCATGGCTGGCTGGATTGGATCTTCTAGTGGCTCCAGAGGCTTGGAACTGGCAGGCAGGTGGGGCAGGTAGAACAGGCAATCTGGAGATAGGTAGACAGATATAAGTGAAAGCAAACAGGTTACTTGACAAAACAAGCACAACGCTAGACATTAAGGCTTAACCTACCGCATATGACTTAACATTCCGGCAGGGAATGGATGTCTGGCCTCTCCTTAAGAAGTGGTGGAGATGGCTGATCAGGAACAGGAGTGTGCTTGTCAGCAGATGCAGCTTGTGCCAACCCAGGAAGCCAGACACGCCCAGGACTCTAACTGAGAGAAGGGAGGAGAGAAAAAACAGAAACAAAAAACACACCAAGCATGCCTCACTCACCCAAAGGGAAAAAACAAATCAACAACACACCCACTCATTCTCAAACTCAGGTGACGATGCAGGAGTCATGACAACAGGCTCTGTGGCATACAGTTGCTTCCCCCTTAAACTCTGGCAAACCGGTCACGATTGATGTTAAACGCATCCCCACAGGTCCACCAGCGCAGGAATGTTGCCCCAGACACCAGATTTAAAAAATCTAATCAGCATTTGTCATGGTTTGGATTTGATATTTGCTATTTCTTGTTTTATTTTGAAAGTGTTCCTCCTCACATGTCTTTGTTGATTTCACTTCCTGTGTTTTCCCATCTGGTTGTCTGTCCTTGTTATCAGTGTCTTGTTATCAGCCCCTCACTTGTGTATTTAAGTCACTATGTTTCCCTTTGTCTGTTGTCATTTCATCTTTGTCTTCTTCATTTTGTCAAGCATCCCTGCCTCTTCTGTGGATTTCTAGATTTTTTGGACTGCTCACCTGTTTTGCCTGCCTCCACTAAACATAATCTTGCTCTTTTTCTTTAATCAATGTGACGTCCCCGGGACGTCCTTGTCTCTATTAGGTTGCTGAGTGTTCATGTGTGTTCTGTTGTAGGTGTCAGTAGGCGGGGTCGTTGTCATCAACATGTATTGGAACCACCTGGGGCCTGGCATGTCTTCATATATAAAGCAGAGCCTGTTGCACTTTGGGGGGAGATAGAGAGGAGGGAAACGCAGTTCCCTTTACTCCTCATTCCTTATTTTGCTTTCTTTATCAAGATTACATTGCACTCATCATTTCATTCATGCAAACATGCGGACACTACTAACTCACTGATTACCCTACTACACTGCCTTATTTTGAGTAATTGTTAAGTAAATGTTTAAGTTGTTGTAAATAAAGTAATGGTACCATTGCTGCAGCGTGTTGTTGCTGTGTGATTATTATGTCAGGGTTTTTGAGCCAGGCTGAGACATGAAAAATAATGTGTCTGTGCTTAGCTCTGCGTGACAGCATTGTGTGAACTCATTTGGCAAGGGCTTGTATATAGCGGATGTTTATTTATATGTAAGTCCCACACTCCAACCTTTAATGGAAACACAATGATGGTTTATCGTATTATCCACTAATAGATAGTGAACCCCAAATTCCTTGTGCCAGTGATAGCTCACTGCCATCAATGGGTGAATAGGAGGCCAGCTTTAAAGCACTTGTATAAACACACTATATAAGTGCAGTCCATTTACTATTATATAATTAAATTATATAATTATAATTATATAATTTATGTTGTTAACATGCTTGTCAGATTGTTGAACAGCATCTAAAACCCTGTCCCACAACACCTTTCCAAAAGTGAAAGAGAAGGTAAGTTTTCTCTTTTTTCATTCTTTATACAACTATTCCTGACGGCTGGCTTTCCTCTCTGCCTCGAGTGTGACCATTCAGAACAACTCTAAACACTTTTTCTTTCCAACCTGGTTGTAGGAACGAGTTAGTTACTAGCATACTACTGTCTTTAGTTTTATTTGGGCAGGTTTTGAGGTATCTCTCACTGACATTTCTGCTTTCACCTGAATACAACAGTGGTATTTCTGGATTGTTGAAAATTTACATTTAAAAAATTCAACAGCTAGATTTAAGGGAGTGGTGTAACTCAGTGACACTGTAAGCATGTATGTGTTTGTCCGCCATAGTTCCCTCACTTGCTTACTCACTGTCTTTGCTTTCCAGCAGGTTTGTAACAATCACTGAGATCTGTGAGGGAATCAGTGTAGGTCAGGTCTTTACAGGCGCTCAGTGACAAGGTCCAGAGAGTGATGGAGTGTCCATCAGCTCAACTCTATTGAACATGTTGACAAGCTATTCATTTTTCTGCCTCGTAGACATATGTTTGCAATAGATAGATGCCTCCAGTCCTCAAAGAAATGAGCTGATATCTAGGTCATCTGTAGCATCTACTGAAGTATGTGATAGTGTAAGTGGATCAAAGTAGTTTGTGTGTGTTTACATTTATGTGACAGATTTGTGTGTCTCTGTGTGAATGACATGACTGCCTGTTTACAAGACTGATATGTATTCATGTCACTCTCTCTTCCATTATCCAGCTCAGCAGCTTACCTGGGGTTGCGTATTTGTTTGGGAACGAGTATGTGTGTGTAGGTGCTAAATGTGTTGTCATTGGGCTTCATTACAATCCCCACAAACACGCCCCCCTCCCCCCCGACTCAGCCAGCTGCAGACAGTACTCCCTTGTATACAGACGCACACACACACACACACAAAAGTACACCCTGAGACAAGCCAGCAGTTGGGCTGACTGTAGCAACATTGCCATACATTACTGGTGCCTCACGGGTGCTCTTATTTGCTGTCACCCCGGGCCTGACTCAGCCGCCACCAGCCCCCAACGCTCTCCTTACAGCACCTGGACTAGACTGGTTCTCCTTGAGAAATGTTACTTATCTGGCATCATCGTGTTACTCTCGCCTGGAAAAGTTGCTGTCTCACAAATATCTGCATACCCAGGGAGATTGCAGATATTCAATAGCTGGAACTCTGCTGCAGACACTCGCTGGAGCAGAATGAATGTGCCGCTCTGTGGTGTGTGTGTTTGTGTTTGTGTGTGTGTGTGTGTGTGTGTGTGTGTGTGTGTGTGTGCGCGTGCAGTGTGATGTGATGTTTGTTTGTTTGTTATGGTGGCAGTGGTGTTACGGCATGTTTTGGCAGAGGCTTGTACCGTTCTCTTCGCTGGCAGGCTGACATACTCCTGGAGCAGATGGTGCCGACATGAATATGAACACTACTTGGATGGGACATGGAAATCTCTCTTCCCCACTGATTGTCCTTTCTCTTCCTCTTATCCTCATTTTTATCTCTTCATTTCCTCTCTTATTCCACCTTTTTTCTCTTTTGTTTTGGAGACAAGAGAAATGTTTTATGCAGCTTTTTTTGTAGTACACCCTTTTGAAAGAAATACAAAACAGCATTTTAATTTGCACGAATATAGCCTCCTACACGCTAGTGTAATAAATATGCTAGTAACCCAACATTTTACTCTAGTCTTGTCTGTGTGTGTTTTCTGCATTTGTTTGGAGTTTGTTTGTTTTAGTGACCCACTGCTAAGTCGCTAACCTCTGACCACTGGGTGAAGCTGTAATTTAGGCTTTACCTTCATTAAGCCTGTCTCCTCTGTGCAAGCCGATTTTTATTTATTATGGCTAATAGTTAACCCATAGCCAACATCTTAAAGTCCAACCCTGAAGTCACAGCAGCTGGTTGTCCTTCTCTTTCTGACACAATAGTGATGCATTAACTGCCTTTGGCTGGCTGTGTGGTATAGTGTCTGTCTGTCCTCCCGGTCTGGTTTGGTCATCAAGCCACCCACTCACTTGTCTGCTCCTATGCTGTCTGTTTACCTGCAAATCAGTTTTTCATTTATCCATCAACAGTGTCTTGGTGATCTCATCACTCTGCCGCTGTGTTTTTTTTCCCTGTTCCCATGTATCTGTCAGTCAGCCTGCATTCTGTCAGCCACATGTCTCCATCTACATAATTTGTTTTGTCTCCCTGCCTGTCACTTTTAACAGGAGGTGATTGACTCGGCTCTCTGCAGGGACGGCATCCTTGCACCACTTTTGGATGACAGGATGACACATTTCCATCCATTTCGCGGCATGATATTTTTATCACACGGCTCTGTTCCCAGTGCGATCCATTTTTCATTGTGCTGAGGTGATTGCCGTCATCAGTCATGTGTATCCACAGAGTTTTCATTATGTTACAATGCTTAGTGTCTTTTATATCTTTTGAGACCACAGATGCATTCAACAACACAAGAAGAGCTTCCTGGGGTCAATCTCTTCTGTGAAATTCATGTTGGTGTGTGTGGAAGGTCACAGAGGGGATGAGCCACAGAGGACTTCAAATGGAGAGATTATTACTCCAGACAGACCTAGAGAAAGAAGTGATGCTAATTGTTGAGTGAGTTCACGGTCCAAACTGGGGTCAGTGTGGAGTCACGACTAAAACTGTGTGCACCAAGATAGTTCTGTTTTATTTATCTCAGTCATTGAGGAACTCAGTGCATGTACGCAAACTTTATCTTCACTCCCACAGTTAGCCATAAATAGATGTAGACACGCCCTTAATCATCTGTTTGTATCATTAATACTCTGCTCCACCATTCTTTAGATGTGTTAAAAAGGACGGCAAAGAAGTAGTGCAAGTTCAAGCTGTCATTACCTGCAACCATTACCCAAAGCTGTGGACAGGCACTTGTATCATTAATTCAACGCATGTACTTGCATCAGTTATTGGCAGTGATATCCCATGATAAACAAAAAAAAAAATGTAGTAAATAATATTGTTCAGTGGTTCCCAAAGTAGATGCCGCAGTACCCTGGGATGCTGCAATATGTATTTCTTGTTTGCTTTTTTAACTGTACAGTTTTTAATTAAATTTCATCACATGAAAAATGAGGCAGCATTTATATTAACTACATTTCCAAATGTATCAAAACAGATGAATTAACATCTAAATCACTGTTTTACAGACCGTGTTAAATATGCAGTTGGCTGCAGGGAAGACTAGTGACAACAGCTTGCGGTTGTCACTAATGCAGGTTTTCCAGATGAATGGGATGTTGTATAAAGGGGTACCATGTTTTAAAAAGGTTTATGAAACAGTCATTTAGTTCATAGCGCTCATACCGGAACACACTTTAGGAAATGCTTCATAACAAAGCATGACTATTATTATTATTATTATTATATCAGACATTACATTGTTAGTGAAGTTGTGGTTACAATACTTTTCTTATCCAACGAAGATTAAAATCAAGGGCAACTGGACTTGGTTGAAGATACTGGAAGACGTTTCGTCCCTCATCCAAAGGACTTCTTCAGTTCTGACTGACTGGCAGGGAAACTCAGCTATTTAACATCAGTTGGCCCGGGTCATCGATACCGCTGGTTCGTTAGTGTTCCTGGTTGCTTTGACAACCTATTGGCCTCAGGTGAAGTTACCAACGATGGTCGTTCAGTCTTGGCCACAGGTAGTCTTAACGCCTGTAACGACTGTCGTCACAGCAACCAGGAACACTAACGAACCAGCAGTTCACCCTGATGATAACACAATCCACCCTGGCCAACGACCCCACTGAGCTGGCCAATCACAGCGCAGTATAGGACTCGCTCTAACTGAGGTCCGACACTTTCATGGCTACTTTCCATTGACTCTAATACAAAAGAGTTGTTTCTAGCTTTTTTTGGCTGTATTTTTCTAAGATATGGTCAAACGCTGTTCCTGGGGCACTTGTAATAGTTACAGTCACTCTGTACCCAGAGAGGTTGAAAGGAGAAGTACGATTTATTCTCTTTCCAAAACCTGAAATAAATCCAGAAAAATGTTGGCTGTGGATTGTTCCTTATGTAATGTTAGTTAGCTAACGCTAGCTAACTTCCTACTCAATGGAACGTAATAAAGCCCTACTGTTCTGCTTTTTAATTAATGTAATAATGAATATAGGCCT